TATATATATATACATACTATATATATATATATATAAACCCTTGACCAAGAGGACGCTCTAGCCGTTTGTAACCTACCGTGCACACTCCATTCACTCCTTCTTAGGCAGTATTGCATCCGCGCACATGCATAAACAAAAAGCAGAAAGTTAGACATACCTGTAGTACAGAGTCGAAGGGGGCCTTGAAATTCGCATTATTTAACATGAGCACACACGCCGACCTACACTTGTCGTGGATTTTATTGGCGATAACAGTAGCGTTTGTATTGTCTGTGGGCATGCTTAATGTACCATTTTTGCCAACACTCTCGTCTCCGTGATAATACCCGACTATCTCCAAGCCTTTCTCGTCACTATATGCAGCCGACTGTGCTAGAGCAACCTCGGCCATGGCAGGCAGCATTAGGCGTGTGTGGAATAATGGTATCGCATCGGCTACTGTTACTTTATCGGCTGTTGATGTGCCTATGAGAACACCGTTGACGGCTGTGTGTGCATTTTTTAGTGCATGCAGCACCATCTTGGCGTGCGCTTTCTTCTCCACTTGGTACAGCATTTGGAGTAGTATCTGTATATGTGTTAAAGCACGTTATATGATAGTATCGCGATAGATTAGCGTTAGTACTATACCAATGTAAAGTATATATATTTGTTTATATTTCAATACTACACCATCGTGTATTTACATACGATGGATCCGCTGTTGCACACCCCAGTGAGTCCCAGTTATTGGTGACTGGTGTGTGGGCCCAGTCCCCACACAGTGGTTGAGCGTAAACGTTTATTCATTCGATTTATATACTTTACTAGTCCACAACTCTACAATCGACCTATTTTACGTTTTTAACGGACATCCTAAGGACGAACTTCCTTCACTTTGAACCTTAGGGCACTAACGATGCACCCACAGCCACGACAAATGGGCAAAATAAACGTTGAACACACTTGTATATGTATTCAAACTAACACTTAATTTAACGCAAAACGTATTGAGCCTCACAGGGCCCACACACACAGTGACTTTTTTTCTCCGTTTTTAAGGCCTCCTGGTACAAGATTTTGGCCCAATTTTAATCCAAGCATACTCAGTCCCCACAGCGGCACCTTGTCATAACCGTGACGGTTCTCAGCACTGTCATGTTCAGGGCACATTTCATTGAAATAAATCCGTGGTGTCGGAAAAATGGGTCGACCAATCGCACAGCACAAATTGCCCTTTAAAATCGTGTTTTATTTTTGCGACAAGAGTTTACGCCATAACATTTCGTATCGTAAATACAAGATATATGAAGCACCAGGTGTCGATTGTAATAGAACTCAGTTAAAGACACATTCTAAACACCTCCCGCTCATCGTAGAAATCTCGAAGTTTCGAACACCAAACAATGTCACAGTCACATGATGACAGCGATGACACATCCGTCTACTTTTTAAAAAACCCCGGACACAGATTGGGTCTTCTGATACATCAAATACCCACACCAATCATATTTGAGAGAACGACACAGGTTAAGATTTGTACACCAATAATAACGCTTTCATTTGATCTTCTGTGGCAATTATAATAATAGTGCCTCTATTTTAGTATTGAATTGTGTGATGAGTACGTCTGCTGTCATACCCCCGCAGCAGTAGTGAACATTCATCGTGGTGATGTATTTGCATATCGAATGCATTTTTAAATAGTATATATCGCATGAGCGCGCTAGTTTAACATCGCCATATACTTACTTCTTACAAACACGGTACCACGTATTTGTAAACAACCAATTTAACAGCATAACAAGATGCTTTACCACAGTACACGCGGAGGGTCATCTGGCCAAACCTTTGAAGAGGTTGTAATGCGCGGATTATCACCTGAGGGTGGTTTGTACGTGCCTGACTCGATCCCTAAGGTGACTGTGCAACAACTACAGGAATGGAGTCAGCTGCCATTTTATAAACTTGCAGCGGCCATTATGAAGTTGTATATTGGTGACGAGATTTCGGATGAGGACTTACTGGATATTTCAAGGTATGGGGAGTGATTATATTACATGTAGGTACTGTGTTAGATAGCATAGCGATGAGCTTATAAAGGTCAGTGTATATCCTAAAGTGCAGTAATTTTTGAATTGTATGCATGAAGTCAGATTGCAGTTTTTTCCTATGAATGTTCACGTACAGGGAGATGCATGGTTCCTTGTTTAGTAATTTTATAGCCAACACCCTCGCGATATACTTTACCCTGTAATATCATAGAATTTTTCTACAAAATCGACAATATCTAGCACATTATGTAAGTTATTTAAAACTATCATGTGGATTTGTGGATTTTCTATCTTTATCTTATAGTCCGAAGCGAATTACAGACATCCGTTTACACAAACACACAAACAGTTTTAAAAATTATACGTGAACCAAACTTCAGTGGATGAGACGTATGACAGTCTGCCACAAGGCTTGGCTTGGTTGTCTTACTTTCGGATATATGTATATATATATAATATATATATATATATATATATATATTGTCTTGCATTCGGATACATATATATATATACTTATATTTATATATATATATGTATTTGTATTTGTGTATGTGTGTATGTATGTATATATATATATTTGTATATATAAGTGTGTGTGTGTGTATACATATATACGCATATATACATTTATATATATGTGTGTTTGTGTGTGTATGTATGTATGTATATGTCCGCCATATTTCATATGGTGTGAGATATGTGCTAAATATGTGAAGTGCTATACATAGTTTTCCCCTTGGTTTTATCTATTTCCGGACAGTCTCCAGAGCTGTGCGCATCTTGGACCTTGTTGGTGCTTAAACTATTTGTGTCACTCGGCCCGTGCCATTGCCTTTGATGGTGTTTCACTTTGATGCAGTGGCATTTCAGTTGGGTAGATAGTCGTTACGCTTAATGATTCAAGATTTGAATAGTATAGTGTACATGCAGGAGATATAAGTTTTCAAGATCTGCCACCCGCATATTTCATATTACTTGATATCACTATAGAGGGAGTGTAGTATGTGTGTGTGTGTACATGCAGGAGATATAAGTTCAGGATCTGCCACCCGCATACATATTACTTAATATCACTATAGAGGGAGTATAGTATGTGCGTGTGTACATGCAGGAGATATAAGTTCAGGATCTGCCACCCGCATATATCATATCTGCCTGTCTAAGTACAACGTCCTTCTCGCGTTCACAGAAAGAGTTACGCTACCACCTTCTCGGACGGACTCACAACACCGCTGAAGAAGTTAGACGACGACCGTTATATACTGGAGCTGTTTCATGGGCCTACCTTTGCGTTCAAGGATGTAGCTCTCCAGGTACAATACATATGCGCGTGCATGTGCGTGCGCATGCACACACATGCATAGCAGTATACACATGTCTGTTATCTGTGTGTGTATGCATATACAGCACAGTTATTGCCGTGGTACCGAACTTCTAGGTGGTCGTGTCCCTTCTTCCCCCCCCCTTCCCCCCCTCATCTCTTGTATACGTGTGTGTATCCGTATGCCTGGACCTCTTAAACGTTGTCTCAAGCCTGTAGTGTGCATTGTCACACACACTCTCCTTGTTTATATCTAAGGTACGATACCTACCGATCACCCCGTGGATTCTCAGACAGGTGGCTCACCCGAGCATGCTAGGGCTGTGCTATATAGCGGCAACTGTCAATAAGACCATAGCCAATCCCCAACCCATCAGCAACACGACACGACACTATCAGAGCCATGCGCATGTGTCAGAGGACTATACACCTTAGCTATACACCTATGACTCATCGCTATACCACTTACTTCGCCTCTATCTTACCACCACCTACCAGTTCCTGGGTAATCTGTTCGAGTATTTCCTTAAGCGCAAGGCCGAGAAGGGAGAGTCGGTTAAGCCCATTACCGTATTGGGTGCCACTAGTGGAGACACCGGCAGTGCAGCTATCTATGGACTTAGAGGCAAGGAGAACATCGATGTGTTTATCTTGCACCCCAAAGGGTATGTTTGTGTGTGTGTGTGTGTTTATATTGATCCGTGTGTGAGTGTATATTATGTACACGTTGATGATGTATATATGTATATATATATACATCTTTTGTACTGACTACGGAAATAGTGTGCGCGTGAATGTGTATGTATATATGTGTTTTTATATGTCCTAAACAGAGACTCCTTGACGACTATATCTCTCTCTATTCTTCCTATACTACATATGCATACACTTATCAAGATATTGAAGTGTATACCCGATCCTGACCTTATATAAACCTTTTCTACCTCCACTCCTACTTCACAGACGCGTGGCAAACGTACAGGAGAGGCAAATGACCACTGTGTTGGATAGCAACGTACATAACATCGCAGTGGACGGCTCATTCGACGACTGCCAGGTACTCCAATCATATCACTCTCGTGTGCTCTATATAGACCCTGGCATATACATATCTTAAGTACTTCAATCATATCACTCTCGTGTGCTCTATATAGACCCTTGTATATACATATCTTAAGTACTTCAATTATATCACTCTCGTGTGCTCTATATAAACCCTGGTATATACATGCCTTAAGTACTTCAATCATATCACTCTCGTGTGCACTATATAGACCCTGATATATACATATCTTAAGTACTTCAATCCTATCACTCTCGTGTGCTCTTTATAGATCCTGATATATACATATCTTTAAGTGCTTCCCTCACATCACTCTCGTGTGCTCTATATATACCCTGGTATATACATGCTATGGACATATGCGTGCGTGCAGCAGAATGTATATATTGAGGAGTATAACGTGTGTATCTAATTGCTTTCGTGCCATACATACACATGCACATTAACTTATACATACATATACATATACACGTATACATACG